CTGACATCTATATAAAGTATGTAATAATTGAGAGAGGGGGGAAATGAAAATGAGTGTGTTCTACTTGTATGGCGTGTGATGCGACATTTCATTCTACAAGTTTTTAAAGAAGTGTTGCATATGTTTTCATTGGCGAATACTTGACTTTCATAAAAGAGTGACTAGAAAAGCTGGTTATGACATTTGGAATAATATATAGATCATGATAAGGTATCTCATACAGTATACTTTCTACGAAAGGGAAAAGAATATAATGCTTTTCCTAAACATAGAAAAAGTTGAAAGAAGATAATTATGGTTTTATATCCAATCAAAACACTTTGCATCAAGATATATATATTACAAATGTGTTTTTGCATCGGACAGAGAGAACTTCTAATCTTCTTAACACGTTCCCTTTTTCAGTCCTGATTTCAAACAAAGCAAAACAAAACTATAAAGAAAACTTCATGAATAAATAAAAAGCCCTCAGTAATCAAACAATTAGCGGCGCATCACTCTCCCCCATTTTTTAAAACGACACGTAGTTACCATTGCAATAAAATAGTAGCAGCAGCCGAACCAGTAACAGAGGAAGAAGAAGAGATGGTGTTAACCATTATGATGATGATGATGGTGAAGGAGAAGAAGAGCCGCAATGAGATAACTACGTGAACAACCCGTTGAAAATCAATGGGAAAATAAAAATAAACATAAAAATCAAAGCTTTTTTTCAAGAAAACTATACCCAAAACTTTTTAAAAAAATAATGATAAGAAGTTATCAAGCTTTACAAAAAAAAATCCTAAAAATCAAAACTTTATCAAAACAAAAGAAGGCAAAAAATTGAGAATTTGAAAAAATCTAGTTATTGGTTTATAGACTCTTAAATTTTTATTAAAATCTAGTGTTACTGGGGAGAAGATTTTATAATTATCTACAAATCCTTTGTTATTCAAAAATTTGTATTTTAATAATTATATAAATTTATTAAAATTAATGTTATTGAAAATTGTATTCTTAACTATTTAATTCATTGAGCAAAATTTAAGAGTAATCCAGCAAAAACCCAGAAATGCCACTACTTCGAATTCGCTCTAGTACATATGTTATCCATCACTGGGCATTCGACAGCAACAAAGAAAAGCAAAACGGATCAAAGTTAAAAACGAGATTTGTCACTAAGAACATCGCCAAAAATATTTTCTACTTTAGAGTTTAAAAAAAATCTATATTTGAAATTTAAAGGTGTTTTTTTAAAAAAAGAATTTCAAATTTAACTTCAAAATTATTAATATTTTATTTTATAGTCTTTATATTTGACATACTTAATTCAAATTCATAAAACTTTTAGAAATAACTAGCATATAAACATATTACATTAATATTAATTAATAAAATGTTACAGTAAACTATAAAAGTGTAAATACAAATATATATATAACTAAATATTAAGCTAGAAATAAAATACCAAATTAATTTTGTAATATTGTTGTTGTCTAGTTCTAGTTTTAGAATATCTTCTAATTTTGTTTTCAAAAAATTATGTGTAAAATTTAAATTTATAAAAAATAGTTTTGAAATATTTATGAGATAATAATTTTAAGGTAAACGATAAAAATAAAATATTTTAAGAATAATAAATGTGATGTGTAATTGTAAGGATCAAAATGCAAATAAATATATTAAAGTTTAAATTAAAAGTTTTAAGTAGTGACATTTTATGTTTAATTACTATTCATTTTTTTAATTTGAAGTTTTAGAATTATTTTTGAAGAACAAAAATTTCATATTTATTTGGTGTATTTTATTAGATGCTCTAAATCGACGTGACAGATCTGAGAAATTTTGTTTGAAGGTGAAATAAAAACTAAAGGTGGGCACAAATCGAGTATTTGGTATTTTGGTATATTTAGTATTCGGTTTAGCTTGTACGAGTATTCAAATTTTAGACTAATATTTAGTTTGTTAAAAACGACTATATGCAATTTCAAATACTTGCAAAAGAATTGATGTACTTACAAGTTACTTGCCTTTGTTTTATTACTTGTTATTTGTAAAGTTTTTACAAATTACTTGATAAAGTTTAGTAAATTATTTGATAGTTAGTTAAATTTTAAAGATAATAAATTTATTATATATAAATAATATATCATTGTTTTCATTTTGTCATTGTTTTTTTTTAGTTATTCGTGAAATAGATTATATTAAGAAATAAAAGATTCCAAAATGTTTATATAAATGTATCATTTATGTTTGATTAACTTATAAAAAATGAAATATAAACAAGTTGTTTTTCTATAATTTAGAAAAATGTATCTTTGTTTATTAACAAAAACGAATAATAAATCAAAAAATGCTGAATAATTAGTTTTATTTTATTATTTTGTATTTGTTTTTATTTGAAAGCAGTTTAAATATACTACTTGATATACGTCTTAGTCAAAATAAGTATTCGACTTTAAGGATCGTGTACCAACCAAATAGTGAACATGAGCTGCATAATAAGTAATTGTGATCACTTATAAAATATATAAACATTAAAAAATAATGAAATATATACTAAGTATTTAATAAACTAAATAATATATGACAAGTACAATTAAATTATGACAAGTAATAAATCAAGTAATTAAAAATTAAAATGAATTTGATACTTGACTTGTATTTGCGAGTAATAAAATCCGTTTATTTGTTACTCGACTTGATTGGAGCAAATACTTATTTTTCAAACTAAATCGAGTCAAGTATCGATTACAAGTCGAGTATCAAGCATTTGTGTCTAGTCCTAATAAAAACGATGGAACAAAGGTTTCAGCATAGAAAGACGATTATACCCTTACACTTTTGAGTGTATGGGCTCATCAAAATTCATGGGCTTTTGAGATTTAATCAAGCCCATTGTCATGGATATTATTGTATTGGTAGTCACTACTATGATGCTCGTTGTATAATGGAATTTTATAGTCAAGACAAGAAGACTTACCAAGATTGAATGTTAGTTGCGGATAATATTAATTAATAATTTAAATTATGAGGGTAATCACAATTTTTGGTGGTGTGATTTGGTGCTCCACCACTCTTGCAACTGGCAATCATTTAAACAACAAAGATATATAACGGTTATAACCCCATGATACCGTAATCAGTTTTAAAGTTCAATAGAGTAGTGATTTGCAAACGTAGATTTCAGTTTTCAAGCTAATATTTCTAACATACTCTCTTGTGATTTTGCTATTCTTTAAGGAAATAAAATCATAACCACAACGACTGTTTATTAATCAAAAGCGGCAAACGAGAAATGAGTCGCAATTGACCTGTGAGAAACAATGGCCCTTCGAGGACACTTTTGGATAATCAAAGTGAGATGAGATTATATTTTTAAGAAACTTGATTACATCACATAACTTGGTTAATAAAACTATAACTATCGATGTTAGGTCAATTCTTATTAAAATCTACATAGTGGTTGGTTTATTCTTTTGATTGGTCCACGCCGCAAAACAAGATCACCAACAAGTTTGACACGAATTCTATAAATTCTTGTTATACACTTATACTATAAATAAATGAATTGCAGTAACAATAAAATACAATAATATCTTATTATATAAAGCTTTAACTAGTTATTTGTTTCATATTTTAGCAAAAATAGCTATTTATATGTTAGTGGAAAGAAACCTACGCATACATCCTTTCTCAACTATATACATAAATAAAAACAACTTGGCAAAACAATTCAAGAAGTTGAAGAAAATGTTTAATCACGAACGTAACTTGAAAATGATGCGTAACCACGGGCTCCCTCTACTTGATGGACTCTTAACACCATATTCACACAGGATTGGTCCTTCAAACTTTGGAATTGGAGAATAATATAAAATATAATCGTTTGACAAAAATACGATTTATATTAACCATCGAGAAAAAAAACTATAAATCTTGTACTCATTGAAATCTCTGTCTTTCACACACACATACACACGTTCACGAGAGAGACTTTCTAATGATGTTTTTTCCTCTAACGAGAAGCCGCGCCGGTCCGTACAAACCACCGTGGGAACAGAAGGGCAGATGTTATGCCAGGTAGCTTTCTCCGACAAGAAATGATTGCCGTTTTTTCAACCTGCGAAGTCGGCAAGCAGTGTGCTCACTTCTCTCGTCTCTGTCATTTGCTTAGCTCTCATTATCTTCTCTTCTTTCCTTAACACGGTTTGATGTTTTACACAAAGTAGTTTTCTCCGTTTTTTTGTTCACTCAATACTTTTTTTTTCAAATTGTATCAGTCTTGTAACCAATATGTAAACCATATATATTATAATAGTCACAAGCAAATTAATGATACATCTCCTACATGTAGTCTTTTTTGTCTCATTCATAAATATTGAGATTGTATAGAGATTAATGGATATTAATCTCTAAAGAATGTGAATTAGAATGCAAGTTTTAGATGAGACATAAATAATTTAAAGGTAAATAAGAAGCATCACGAATTTCTTCATGTTTCATTCCAAATTCGTAGTACTATTTTTACAAATATTGTTTTTGTTAAATACATGATTTCTCAATATTGATAGATTGAATTAACTGTCAACTGATTTTGAGTTTAAAAAAATCGGAAAACTTAACAATAAAGCAAAGAAATGCTTATAAGGAGTAATTGTATTAAACCATCATATACAATTCTGTATTTTTTTTTTTTTTTTGAACACATACAATTCTGTATTTAGATTTCGTTTTTGTTAGCATAAGTCTGTATTGACTTGAAAAAAAATACATATTTGTTTTGACCACACATCAGACTGGGACACAACTTTTGTTTTGATGCATTAATAAACAACATACAAGCACATTAGAATCAAATGATAAAATGTAAAACCCTGCAACAACATCTAATACTGAGATCTCTGGTGAAAGTAAAAACACCACAAGAAGAGAATCAATCTCCTGAATCATTACAAAGAAAAACATTATGTGACATTACATACAAAGCAGCTTCTGCTCTTTTTTTGGGCTATATATCATTCACAAGCGAGTTTAGTATCAAAACTGCTCAAACATATAGCAAAAGCCTGAAACGCAGAGAGTGGATACCTAAAATCCATAGTGAACATGTCCTTTCCCACTTTTCCAAACTGTAATATGATCTTGTCTGGACCATCGCTCTGTCCTGACGTCTGAGGCTGTGGTTGGTTTGCTGCAATGAGCTGAAAGTTCTTAACCGATGCAACCGTTACACGTCCCCTGAAGTTCAAACACCAGCACTGAAGCTGTTCATGCCACCTTGGTGGCTTGTTCTTAAGCACAAGAGGCGGTGAAACCCGCTCTTTTCCTTCTCCAAACACCTCTTCTCTGTCCTCTCCCAAGGGCCCTAGAATGTCTGAAAACCTAGCGCTGTTAAACTCAGTTGAGTAGTCGCTAGTGAACTTTCTTGACGAGGTAATGCTACGGAAAGACTCATCAAGAAGAGAGCGTGGGACAATGATCTCTGGCTGTCCAGGGACTGTTCCACCTTCCTCAAGAGAAGAAGCTGGAATAGAGTGCATAGCACAGTGCATTCTCCTTGGACCTCGAGTGCCAAGAACGTTTAGCTCGTAAGACACTTGAGCAATCTTGTAGCTGCCGCTAGGGACTTTAGGAGATACTCTCTTTGAGTAAAACCTGCGGCTAAGTCCTAGCGGCTGGGGCGCCTGAGAGGGTTTGTTGTTGTGTGGAGGTTGTGTGTCGTATATAATGAACTTTGTACCAAGAAAGTTAGACCTGTAAAGAGGAAGAAGATGAGACTTGAGCGTCAAGTAACCTTTTGGGTTTATATAGTTTTTTTTTTTACCTAATCTTGCCAATGTAGGTGTTGCTTGATCTTGAAATGGTGTCTGCGTGCATAGAGATGACATACTCTGTGTAAGTACTTCTTCTTATGCGTTTCGCCGAAAGAAGAAACTTTCCATTCTCAACCAACAAAGCTGGACAAACAGTATAAGATACCAAACATAAGTCAAAGTATAATTTTTAAGTTAAAAGCAGAGAGAACTAAGGTTTTACCTGGACTGAGACAAAGGTATAGATGGTAAGTGAGGTTAGACTTATCCCTTTTGATAAAACATTGCATTGTTGCATCTCTTGGTCCAGGCTATAAACAAGATATATCAAACTCATGATACTACCCAAACAAAACATATATGAGCTTAGGGCCGGTCCTGAAATTTTGGAGACTGTTTCTATTAAAAAGATTTTTAACAAATTTGAGGGCTTATATAAATGTAATATTTTTCTAAAATGTTAGTGGCTATATAGGCTAATGCTTTACTATACTATTTTTTTTTTTAACAAATTTGAGGAATCAAGATTCTTTACCTGTTTGAGGGAAACAGGGAAAGTGATTTTGCCAGAAAGCTCAGGCCTTTGAACAATCTCTTTACACATATCTCTCCAAGACCTGCAAACAGAAGCACAAGCAACAACATGTCTACGAGCAGGCCATGCGCTTTCGCTCTCTTCCAGCCTTTTGATCACATCATGCAATAACTCAGGAGGTAGATTCGCCCAAGGGGTTTCTTGAACATGTACTAGAGGCTCTTGTTGTTGTTCCTCATGATAGTCTTGAACCGAGCCACGAGACTTGCTTAACTTAAAGTCGAATCTACGCCTTGATAGACTTCCTATACTGTCTCTCACGTCACGAACTATGCTGCGGAAAGACATTTTTTGTGTTCTGAAACAACACAGAATAAAACCAAACGATGCTTAATAGCAAAGAAATGAGAAAGAAAAAAAAACGAATAAAGCAAATAAAAGAAAGATTCTTGTTAATGGACCCAAAAGCAAGAACACACACAAAAAAAAATTGCAGAAACATTCTTTTGATTCATATTTTTTTTTATAAAAAAGACAGAAAAAAAAGAAACTAATAAATTCAAAATTTCAGCTTGGTATAAGATTCAAATGTAAGAATATTCGAAATTTAAGTAACCAAAAAAAAAAAAGCAAAAGGAAACAGCAAAAACAACAGTCTCTACTCCTCCCAAGAACAATGGTCCCAGAGATCTGATTCCAAGTAGTATAAACCATATCTAAAACTATTCTTTGGAGATAGATTTACACATATAGAAACAAAGACAATTGATTTTAAGATTTTACCTAACAAGTTAAGACAGAACATGAACTAAAGCTACAACCTTTACTTAATTAAACTGGTCTTAAAGATTTTTTAAAAATAGATCTAAGAAACAGAGGATAGATCTGTAGCTGAAACAGAGAGAACAGAACAGAGAACCAAACAAGTTTTTCAGAGATGGGGTCTTACAAAGTTTCTTACTTTCTTAGTGTTTTGATCTCCTCGTCTTCTCCGTTTCAAACCCTTTTAGAGCTTTTGTCTCTCTCTAGAAACCGACTACGTTATCTCCGCTACACGAACACATCTCATTATTTCTTTTCTTTTTTATCAATCAACATTTTTATAGGACTATTATATTATATAATAAAAATACTATTTAGGAAACTGTTTATTACACTGACTAAGAAGGATACTTTCTGGCTTTGTGCATTGTTTAATAATTTTAATAAACAGATGTTTTTAATGCAACAAGCAGAATATTATTAAATGTAAGCAAATAGGCCTATGTTAAAATAAAAATATAATTAAAATATATCAACTGATTAGAGGGAAAACATATATATATTCAGCTAGTTGATTTTAGCCGTTGACCTCCCACTCCTACTTTTTATTTTCTTGAAAATGTCGGAAAATATTTTTTTATAGATAATCACATCTTAGTATTTCTTAACTTACAAGTTACTAATGTTGACCTAATTGTGTTCATATGTGTAGGGACGTATAATTTAGACAATAATTTTGAAATATATTTCTCTATATAACAAAAAAAGAAATTAGTTTTGAAAGTAATTAAATTTTTTGAAGGGTTTACCAACCCAACCGGCCATTCATTAGATCATTCAACTTTGATTTTTGAACAATACTATTTAAATTTGGATAAAATTAATAGTTTTCGTTTTAAATTAGATGTTATTATATTTTTCACCTCAATTAAAAATAATTAATATTTAATTTTATCCTTACTTAACTATTAGTATTCCCTTGACTTTTTAAAATAATATAGAATAAAAATAGATAAATTAGTGACATAAATTATACTGAAAAGCTTAAAACTAAACTTATTTTATATAATAAAAATTTTCTTCAACAACAATACATAAAATGAACAGAGAGAATATATATATCAGAGGTTATGGGGAACTTAACCCTTTTCAATGTTTATTAACAAAGTTTAAGATAGCTCAATGAAAAACAAATATTTTCAGAGGAGTATAAAATCATACTGTAGTTTATGATTGTTACCTGCCCAAAGTTAAAACAATAATCCACAAATTATTTGCACTTGTTCTTTTTTCTTTGACAACTTCGCACTAATTCATTATTGCGTTTTTATTACACACCACAAAACTATAATAACTTTTGAGAAGTCTGCTGAAACGTCAAGTTAGACTCAAGAAGTATTTTTAGCCTTTTGTAGCAAAAATGATATCCCTTTGATTGGACTTCACTTTATAATTGAAACTCCACTATCATTTGGTTATCGCTCATTTCTTCAACCTTCCAATTATTTCCCACCATTATTCAGTTCCCATTACCATAAAGAAATATGCTAATTATATTCTAAATAAAAAATGATGTATTACATCGATTACGTGAGAGTGTGATAGACATGTATAATGGATAAGGCGAAATGAAAAGAAAAAGATATATTTAATCTTTATATCTGAACGGCTGAGAATGATCAAACCGTGATGAGGTTAGTTGAGCGACACACTCTCGTCATAAAGACGAACTTATGAATGAAATGATCATTTTTCTCGATCCAACATGATGTTAATGTATAATGGGAGTACTGTACTTACCATTATAACTGGTGAAGAGTCGTCTCTCTATAACAGCCACCTTTGAAAAATAGATAACAAACATATTGTATACACAACTAATACATTATCCTAATTTGTTTTGTCAGCTGTATACTATACTATACTATATGATTTTTTCTTGTTAGTTATAATCAAATTAACCAAGAAAAATATAGGAGAACAAAAAGATCATGACAATACGCATAGGTGGAGAAAGATAGCGATGTGTTCAATTTATTATGTTTTTTTTCGAATATTTATTTGTTTTGGTATCAATGCTATGAACGATTCGCAAGCTAGAAACAACTAACTCAGAATAGAGTATAACAAGATGACAAAAAGAAAAAAAAAATTCGGAAATTTTTTGTATTGATTAAAAAGAAGAAATCTCCTTTTACAAAATAAAAAATAGAAATAAATTTCGTAGATTGGTGGATTTATGTTTTAAAACGATATAGGTCGTGGCGGGTAAGGCACATCAAAGAGGTTGACTTTGACCTGAAAAGCCTCGGAATCATAGAGGTTTTATAAAGAAAATTATGTTTTGATAAACGAAGATCATAGGAAATTGCATATATTTTGGTAGTTCTCTAAACAAAAATATGGAAATGTTGACTGTAAGATTATTTGCTCATTTGTTAATTGACTATATATCTGGAATAATTAGCTTGGTTTTTAATCAATCTTTTCAATTATGTATTCTAAATCTTTTGATATACTAATATCCTTCAAGATTTATGGTACAAATAATACTGTATAGTGGGTAGTGTAAGGAATTACAGATAAAACGAAGCAAATTCATAGACTGTTTAGAATATTTCAAATGAAAATTGGCATGAAAACCAACCCAAAAGCAAAAGTATACACCGAACATGTTGAATGATTAGTGTTGACTATTTTGAATACAGAAAACATGCATATATAATTACATGTTGAAGTGAGAGAGACCTAGTCACCTAAGACAACGAGGGGCTTCAACATGTCGCACGGCAAGAGAATATAATAACGCTACTTAGGTACTATTTCTTTATCAATCGTCTAATCTAACTCAGCGTACACACGCACGCACACATATATTAGATGATTAGAGCATAATATAATAACACCACGAGCGTGTTGCTTATACGAAACTTAAGTTCTCAAATGTTCATAAACATACCCTAACCGCTTTGTCAATTTTTTTTTGATAAAGACAGCTTTTGTGTAATATATATATATATGTATACATGAACTACAATATTTAGTGTGTTTTATGCTTGTATAACATATGGTTTAGTCCTAGTTTCGTATTCCCGTTCGTCTAAAGAATCTATAACGACCATGAGCTCGATACTATGCTCATTGTTGAATCATTTTCTTATTCAACCCAAAAAATCGTTGGAATTCATGTTAAAATTTTGGGTTTACTTTGAGAAAGAAAGTCAAAGTGAAGAAGCTTGTGAGAGTAGAAAGTTGATCGCAAGAATGAATACATCTACAGACGAAGATTAAGGAAGAAAAAAAGTAATACTTGTTACAGTTTATGTATATAATGTTTTAGATAACTACGTTATAGTTTGTTTAGAATTGTCATACGACACTATCTTTTTTGGTAATTGAGAATTAGGTTAACTGATTGAGACCTCGTTAAATGTTTATGCCGTCCTATTTGACGGGTTCATGTTTTTCTTTCACAATTGTCTTTGTCATTTTATTTTCTTAAATGTGTGTATAGAGTCGTTTTTATATGTAGTTCATGTAGATGTTTGTTCGTATTTGTTTTAGAATGTAGCTCGCTATTACACGTGATCGACAATGTTGTTGTTTTCAGTATTATCATTTTCAGATATGCATATATTTTACCAATATGTAAGTTATATTCAATTCAATATGTGAAAAACAAAGCAGATAAACTTGAACAATTCGAGTAGAGCTAGATTCTGATTGTTTCTAAGCAAACAACATTCTTAAAACCATGAAAATCAAACTGACAAAACAACATTCTTAAAACCATGAAAAATCAACATGACAAATCAACATTCTCATCACATGCACTTCGAAAGCCTGGCAAAATTTTCTAAAATACTATAGGTTAAAATAACATTTGGGCTTACCAACTAGATCTTTTAAGGCCCAAAATATTATTTCGTCGACCATATGTGTGCACGAGACACCCCGCATCAGCAAAGCGTATTGGGAACATATCTTACAATGAATTAATGCTAACGATAAAAAATCATATTTTGTTTTAACTACCCGATAAAAGTCATTAAAATGTAAATTAATGTGGTAACGATAAGAAAACTCACTAAACAATTATTAGTTGGGTCCCGCTAAATAAATAAAATTTCTGTCGTAATTTACGTTTTTTATTTCGGTCAAGCCAAGCAAAGTTGCGGTAAGATCAAAATATGTCAATTCTTCCAATTACTATAGTTGACAATGACCTGGCTGATAACAATGGACGGTAACGAACTTGGCATGGCAAATGAGGTTGACCCATATATAAATATGGATTTAGTTACATATTATATTACAAAAAAACTAACCATATCAAGCTTTTACTATTATATGTATATTACGTACACTATGTGGTATATGCCTTAATTAATAACGATCACAGTATTCGGTAATCACGTTGGTTATCAGCCTACAACATATATATAAACGGTCTATGTATACGTAGAAACGGATCAAGTTGGGATCACTTTACAGAGCCATACGTAGTGGAAATACAACTGAAGCCAGCTCATTGTAACCACCGCTTTGATTTCATATCATTAAATTTATTTATCCAGCTTATAAATCAAAAAAGGAAGTTAATAATTCGAATTCAACATCCAATTTCTGAATAAAATAACCAGTATTAATATTAATATAAAAATTAACATAACTTAACCGAACAAAAAAGGGATGCGAAAAGAAGGGATGAGTTTGGTGTTTCAGACAAAAAAACAAACTGCCAGTAAGATTGTCCATTCTCCTATTAATGTTTTGTTATACTTATACAAAACATCTCCATAAATAAAATGTGATTGCTTTCTCCAAAATGTTTATGCTTTGTCCTCTTAATGGTTGTTAGTTAATTAAAAAAAAAAAATATATATATATATATATACGCAAATTCATGATACAAATGGCGAATTTATATGATCTCACGATTATAACGTAAACTTTTTTGTGGTTTGAAAAAAAACGTGAACTTTTTTGAAGGCATTTCACGTAAAATTTGAGAAAATCTTCTTTTTTGCCTAGGTTTTACTAGCAAGATATCTCTTTTTATAACATTACAAACCCGCGTCAGTAAAAAGAAAATTCATATTTTGGCAAATTGAGAAAATCTTTTAACTTTACTGTTCTTTTTTGATAATTACATGAAATATATGTAAGTAATATACAAATAAAATATAAACATTATATAAATAAATTATTTACTATTTTTGAGCCCGTCTCAATTACTTACAAATCATATTATAGTTTTTAGAAAGTTCATGTATAGTCTAAAATTGATCAGTGAAATTCAGACGACGATTGCTTTTACCTGTATGTTCCCAGTTAAATACACGTTTAAATTTTCCAATCTAATTTATCTAATTTTTTTTTTATGAAAGGCTTAAATTTATCTAATATGAATGTGTCTTTTTTTTCTTTCTTTTTTTTTTGTGACGAAACAAATATGAATGTGTCTATAAACAGAAAAACACGTTGATCTTTATTGGCATGATGACATGCAAAAATACGTACCGGCAAGAAAATAAAAGGAAATTAAAATCAGTGGTAGTCGAAGAAACAACAACTTTTTTTTCTTTACCAACAACAGCAACAACAACATATTTACGTTAAAAAATTGATACACTATTAAGTTACAAAAAAAAAAAAAAAATTTGATACACTATTTACTTAGGCACCGAAAATATTTCAATACCATTAAATAAGGTAGGTCATACGCTAGCTAAACCATGTCTCTACTTGCTTTTTCTCATAAATGCATTGATATCCGCCTAATAACCATATAGAACTCAGACATTTATCTAACTCCTCGTCTAATTTAATACCGTAACTTGATGTTACATCAAAACTTCCATATACTATATTAATCACACCACACCCCTTTTCTGCCTCAAATCGTCAATATACACCAAGAGTGAATAACAAAGATAATATCTTTCAAACATATATTGAAGAGTGAATGACAAAGATATATCATAATAAATACAGACGGTGAACAATGACATGTGAGTTATTGGGTTACAAACTAGTTGCATGATTAGATTAGATAGGTCAACATTAGGGGGTAAAAAGGTAAATGCACAGTTGGTGTATTTGCGGTTTGATCCAGCGGCGGTGAGAAACTAATATGGTCCCACGTGGGATCACGCTACCCGAATATTATCCCTATCGTCTCTATCTGCAGCTGTTCTTGCTGCTTATTTTTATAATACTTTTAAACGAAAAGCATCTATTATGATGTCAATCATTTTAAACACTAATGTAATTATATTCTTAGGTTTCTACACAGCTCACAGTCTTCTACTATTGTTATTATTTCAAAAGGAACCATTATCTATCATTGGTTATTTATTTATTATTTACTGTGAATATACCATATACTCTACATAGTAACCTAACCATATATAATAGAGAAAAATTTCTAAGTAAATCACAGGTCACAAGTGGCTAAAGACCCTCCAATTATACATCCACGTTAAAACTCTTAATAAATAATTATATGTAAAACTATATATGGATTGACGTAATGAATGAGCAATTGTTTCTGGTATGAGATCGTCATTCACGAAATTCAGTTTTAACAGTTTATAATTTATTTCACACTATTCAGTCTAATTAGGGTTTTAATTTTTAACCAGTTCGGTACCAGAATCGATGGCAAGTTTATGAATTATTTAATGCCGAAAAAGCTGATAAACCAATCACTAATCAGATGTTACACCTACTGAGATAAAAAAAAATATAATGAAATTATTTTTTGGTACCAAAATTTTCTTATAAGCAATGAGAAGATTCCCAAATTTTAAAAGACAGAAGGAAAGCGAAAATAGTTCCACTTTTAAGCCCCACTCCTCTTTTTATGATTTATAAAAAAATAATTATGCAAACATATCACCTATAAAAATGTATTATAAATAATATTTAGATAAATGGTCCATCCCACCCAATTAAATACCTCTAAGATAAAATCACAATAGACAAGAAAAGAAGACGAAAAAAAAAAAAGAAAATTCAACCACAACCTTCTTCGTCTCTTATCAAACTCTGCTAAACTCTCTTTGAGACATCCAGATTCGAGTCTTAAGTATGTCTGAAATTGGCCACGTCGGTGGTTCAGTGGAGGAGGAGAAAGATATGAAGATGGAGGAAGCTGCTGAAGTAGGCGGCGGAGGAGGAAACCGGTGGCCAAGACCGGAGACTTTAGCTCTCTTGAGAATACGTTCGGAGATGGATAAAGCCTTTCGTGACTCCACTCTCAAAGCTCCCTTATGGGAAGACATCTCCAGGTTTATATATATATATATATATATATATATATATATATATATTTATGATACATGCATATATATACATAGAAACAATAAACAGAGAAGTTTAGGATCTTGTATATATACATTTTCGGATTTTCGAATATCTTATTTTTGGAGATTTGATTTGAATATTCCTACACAGCTAATTATATGTTTATATGTAAATAAAAGTCTTATTACAAATCTACATTTAACTATGTAATAAACTAGATGAATATATTTATGATACATGCATATATATTTCATACTGAAAAATAATCGGAAGTTTTATGATCGTGTATGTGAATACGTTTTCCACATTTTTTGGGATATGTCTACATTAAATACTTTTTTTGGTAATCTCATTCGAATGTTCTTATACGTCTAATTATTTTTTATAAGTATATCTTAAAGTCTAACTACAAATATACATTTAACTATGTGATAGACTAGATAAATATTTGGTTGTCGCTTACAGTGTTTGTTGTTTTATAAATAATTAGGAAAATGATGGAGCTTGGTTACAATAGAAGAGCAAAGAAATGTAAAGAGAAGTTCGAGAATGTGTATAAGTATCACAAACGTACCAAAGAAGGTCGTACAGGAAAATCCGAAGGCAAAACTTACCGATTTTTTGAAGAGTTACAAGCTTTGGAGGCTCTCAATTATTTTCCACCTGAACCCGAGTCACAACCCGCAAAATCTTCTACAGCCACCACGACCGTGACCGCAACCGTAACCGCAACCACATTTTTGAAACATCATCATAATCAGGTTAGTGTGAAACCCATAGCCACTAACCCTACCTTCCTCACCAAGCAACCGTCTCCTACAACATCTTTCCCTATTTATAACAACAACCATAATACTGGTTTTAGACCAACTTCGAATGACTTGATAAACATGAACCTTTTCTCGAGCTCAACTTCTTCATCTACTGCATCTGAAGAGGAAGAGGAGGATCATCATCAGGACAAGAAATCAAGAAAGAAGAGGAAATATTGGAAAGGGTTGGTTACTAAGTTAACTAAAGAGTTGATGGTGAAACAAGAGAAGATGCAAAAGAAATTCTTGGAAACTTTGGAGAATCGAGAAAGAGAGAGAGTCTCAAGAGAAGAAGCTTGGAGGGTACAAGAGGTAGCGAGAATCAATAGAGAACACGAAACACTAGTCCATGAGAGGTCTAATGCTGTTGCTAAAGACGCTGCCATCATATCCTTCTTACACAAAATCTCAGGACAACAACAACCACATCAGAAACATAGAGTACCACAAAGGAAACAATATCATAGTGAACATTCAATAACATTTGAGAGTAAAGAGCCAAGCGCGGTTCTATTAGATGGCAACCATTCACTATCTCCTAGCTCTTCAAGATGGCCTAAGACCGAGGTCGAGGCCTTAATAAGGATAAGGAAAAATCTTGAAGCTAACTATCAAGAAAATGGTACTAAGGGGCCATTATGGGAAGAGATCTCTGGAGGGATGAGAAGATTGGGATACAATAGAAGCGCGAAACGATGCAAAGAGAAGTGGGAAAATATTAACAAGTATTTCAAGAAAGTCAAAGAGAGCAACAAGAAACGACCTCTTGATTCTAAGACTTGCCCTTATTTTCACCAGCTTGAAGCTTTGTACAATGAGAGGAACAGAAGTGGAGCATTGCCAATATTGCCTCTAATTGTAACTCCACAGAGACAGTTGCTTCTCCCACAAGAAACGCAGTCTGAGTTTGAGACTAATCAGAAGGACAATGTTTGTAGTAAAGAAGGAGAGAGTGAAGAAGATGATTACGTAGATGAAGATGAAGATGAAGAAGGAGAAGGAGACAATGAGACAAGTGAGTTCGAGATTGTGTTAAACAAAACATCTTCACCCATGGACATCAACAATAATATTTTCACCTAAATGTTTTTTTTTACAATCCTCTATAAATACTTTTCTGTCAAACTACCCAATGTTGTGAAAAAAACATATACAACAAATTTAAGTAAATAGCTTGATCTTTTAATTAGTTATAGGGTTCTTGTTTGTGGTATTATAATGAAATAATTAGATATTACTATTCGTATATAGAACCACAAGATTCAATGGTATCAATTGATGAAATTTGAATTAAAAATTGGCTCAATTGGTGGGGAGAAGAGAAGGTTAATCAAGCATACATCTATATCCATGGGTACCGTACCGACATACCTACTAAAAGTTTGGACCTACGAATTAAACTGGGTCGTCGCTTTCATCATTTTTCTTTCATTTGAATATTATTGCAAGTTGTGAAATGTTTAGTATTTCTTATTCCCATTATAAAATTTGAATATATAATTTTACCTTAAATCATCTAATCATAAGTACCGTCCGTGTGGTGGATGGCACTGGTGCGTTTCTTTCTGTAATTTGCGCCTACATACCACGAGGTGGACCCAACAAGCACACATCAGATTCGAATTTAAACAGTAATGTTTTTCAGTTGCCCCAAAAAAAAATGTACAGTAATGTTTTTCTTTTAATAAAAACTAGATTTTGACCCGCTCAACCGAGCGGGTGTTTGTTTCGTTTATAAATATGTATATATATATATATATATATATTTATTTACATCATTATTGGTATATATTATTATTCATATGTTTAATGTTTATAAAAGATTCTAAAAGATTTTGTTAGAATTCTTTTTAAAATATTTATTTAATTTCAAATAGAAGAAAGATATCAAAAGATATTGTAACTAAGTCAAATAAAATGTTATTAAGATATATATGAAATATTACTTTCTAGGAATGGTCCATTTTTAAAAATATCACACATGAAGAGAAGTTGTGACTTCTCTTTTAATATAATAGATATTACATTATCTTTGTAACATTTCACAAGCTATGTGGATTCAGTTAATAAGTTATTCCACTCGAATGATAAATTAAAAAAAAACACAGAAAGAAATTTACATAAAATAATAGATATGGAAAGTTAAATAAGTTGCAGAAGTTGTATTGAAAAATGTGAACCAGATATATTCATTTAATGAGTAATTATTTTTTCTATATTTTAGAATCAATGAAAGACAGTATAATACATCAGTTAAAACTTAAAAGGGTGGGACTATTAGATCCATCTTCTTACATCTATGTATTTTAAGATTATGTGACTCAGCCACAGTTATACTCATATATAAATGTTTAAAAATTAGTCCTTAAAAAAATAAATTAATATTTCTGTTTCATTTATTTATAAGTTCTAGATAACTTTTTACTGTATATTAAAAAAATAGTTTTATATTATTTTATCCAAACTAGATATATTATTTTAAAAATATCATCTGTTCAAATGTTCATTTTAGTATATTGGATTGTAAAATATTTGAATTGGACAACAATATGTTTGAGTTCTGATTAGACTAAAATTAAAACAAATTTATAATTTATATTTAGTTTAGTTTTTTTTTCTTAGATTTGTAAACACTCCCTATATATTTAAAAGTTTGGTCTTTATTTTCTTTTACCCATATTAAAAAAGGTAATTACACACTTATCTAATTTAGAATAAAAATAGTTAATAAAAATAATAACAATGACAATAAATTAATTAATTTAAATTTATTGAGTTACGTAAGTAAGTACTCTTTTGTAAAAAGAAAATAAAGAAATTATTTAACATTTATCATTATAAAATAGTATTTTAAATCAATACAATTTTTAATTTCTTCTTTATTTTGTGTGCGTCAGATTTTGATGATTAATGGTATTATACAAAGGGTTACAAAAGTATATAATTGACAATATTGATAGTGAATTTTTTGCAACTTCATGAGAACATTATACTTAGAGATGTTTCATGACATATTTAGAGTCTTAGATTATCTATAATGTATTTTGCTTTTTTTTACCTCTATAATAGAACTGGAATATGCTCTAATGTATTCTTCTAAAATAGCAAGCTTTAACTATAGAATAAAAAAGTAGAAGAATGCTAGTTTTTCTTCTAAATAGAAAAAGATTAGAGATCTCTATTATAAATTTGAGCAATTTCACTTTTAAATACTATTATAAAGATAAAATAGCAATATGTTGAAGATGCTCTTAGACAACTGACTTTTGACTCTAAATCTTCAGCGCCATGAGAAATCATCTGCTCGATGTTTCTTTATTTTCTCCCACAAAATGTTGACCTTTACCGTGTGAAGACAAAAGTAAAAGCCAACTTTGATATTATGTTAAGCACAAACTCATTTTTCAAAATTCTATTTATAGCTAAAAAAAAGTTCACTTTATTTTTAGATGTCACTTCTTTTATGTTAATCAAATGAAATTTTCCAATAATGTCTTTAATTGAAAATGGGGTTACAAGATATTAAAGAACTCATCACTTTCAAAGGATTCGAAGAAATTTGTGCTCAGTATATATATATATACTCTCCATCATTCCACCCCCTCCCGGATTATTTTTAAAATGCACTTTAATGTATGAATATACATACACTATTCACTATTTTATACATACACATATTCAGTATTTGGGTCGTCATCATTGTTTTAGCCCCTGAGTAAAAAGCATCGGAAATAGAAAATACAAAATATGTATGCAAAAGAAAAAGAAGAAATTATTTAACATTTATGGAAAAGAAAAAGATTCCATTCCTAATAAGTAGCCACCACTCTTTCTCATAAATCATTTTCCCTTTTACATACCCACTTCGGAATTTTCATGTTTCATGTTTCAATTCTTTTATTTTCGGTATATAGTTTTGACAATTGTTTATTTTTCTGCTAATTAACCTAAAACAAATATATAGCTAGACCTTAACTCATAACCAAAAGTTCGTAATTAATATGGTGACATGAAACAGAAAATGAATACGGTGAAAAATGATGTCCACTTGTTGATAGCTTTTCATGGAGCCATGGAGGTACTTACTCGGTGTCACGAATTGTTCGAATTCATTACAGATCTGCCGTCTAACATCATGTTCGATCAGTACAATTTTTTTTTTCTGTAATATTCTTGAAATAATAATGAATCAGAGCGAATAATCTTATATTTTTGTATACATAGTTATATAAAGGTAAGATTAGATACTTTACAAAAGCCACATCGTATAAGTTTTGTTTGTTTTCAGCCAATGTATGTGGTGGCTCTACTAATGTTTTAAAGGACAGAGGATCTTCCAAAGCAAACGGACTTAAAGATCACAAGTTTAAGCTTTGATGGTATATAGATAGGAACGAGGCTGAATTAGTTAACATACTATATGGACTCTTATACGAAGAAACTATGAGTACTGAAGATTCAGAACTTTATAAAAACAACATCTTTTAAACTCAACGAGGATGCTTAATATTACCACAGGCATGTTAACATTAAAAGTTCAAACCTCGTTACAACTCTATGTAGACATATCATATAATATGAAAATGGATATATATAGTAATAAGTAGGTGGCTTGGTATGAGCTATTACCCTCGCATTGAAATTGAAACCTATCCAAATTATCTGTATATACTTTCAAATAACATCAAACAAAATAATAAAAACAGATAGAAATTTATGGACGTGCAAATATTTCATACATCAACTTTCTACATCCGTGGACTGGCAATTTTAACTCTCAATATACTACTAATAAAATATGGACATATATATTTTCATTACGTCTTTTTCGTGTACTTTTAAGTCTACTTATTGCCTAAATCATCATTTTCAACTCGCAATTTCGAATTTGTTTTTAATAAGTACTACCACTGTTTCATTATAAGTGTCATTTTACAGCTGTGCACACGGATTAAGGAAACAATTAATTTTACATATTTCCTATATAAAAACACAATTATCCATACACCTAATCATATTTTAACCAATTGAAAAACACATTACATAATAAAATTAATAAATTTTGCATTGAGAATCGAAAACGACACTTATTTTGTAACACAAAAATTTCTCTACAATGACACTTAATATGAAACGGAGGGAATATTTTATTAATTCAACGGTACAAACTGGGACTTGCTTATGCGCTGAGAGCCTGACAAGATACTTGCATAGAAATAGAACAGAATAATTAGGGATTGTTGGCTGATTCAAATAACCAATAAAACACACCAAAAAAATTAAAGTGGGCTCACATTAGTCACATATTGTTACGAACAGAGTTATACTCGCAGTGCAAAGTGCGTGTTCCTTTTTCGAAGGTTGTGCAAGAGCCTGCAGATTCGTGTCTAGGTTTTAAAGGAGTAATAAACAAAAGGTGAAAACTGTTATTTCCATTTTGTTTCTCTATTGAGATACCACACCCACACACAATGAAAAGCAAAACATCGTTTAATTTATGAAAAGTAAAACAGCGTTTAATTTATAAAACTATAAACTAATATGTTTTAGAGTGTTGTTTATCATTATTTTCCAGTTCCAGAACAAATATCATGTTTAGAGTATAACTCTGTCATAAAATATCTAATTTAACCTCAAGTCGAGTAATATATAGTAGAATATACTAAATTTTAGAATTATAGAAAGATTTTTTTACTTCTATTTTGTTTTGAATTAAAAATGTAAAAATGACATTTATGGTAAATTATTTTGTTCATTGTATATTAATAACTAACCAATTTATTGACAATAGATTCGATGACCTGGGGTGCCTCAAAATTCTTCATGTTATTTCCAAATTGTTTGGATTCGAATCCCCACAGTGGGGATGTCAGGGCCATGTTACTACTAGTTTAGTTGACAAAATAATTAATGCGATTGAATGTTTTTAAATACTAGTATCATACTAGTTGAATGGTTATGCAGTTGGATCTGTAAATATTACTGTAAACATTTCTAATTAGTGTAAAAAAAACATTTCTAATGGCATTAGCTGATTTTTCACATATTTGTGTGATTATCTAGAACTACCTACGACATGAAAATCTCGATCATGAAGAAACTAGTATTATGTAATTTCCAAACATATAGAGTAAAACCCCATTCATCTACAGCTAGATCTATGGCATGACGTTATCTAACCCAAAATGATTAATTAATGGCATCTGAGTTTGATAAATTATACAAGCATCTATTCATATATATATTACTTAACGTACAAACTAAGTTGGGATCTCATTGGTAACATGTGCAGTAAACATATTACTTTATAACATGATGAATTTTCATGAACTGAAACCAGTAAACATATTACTTTTTATAACATGATGAATGTTCATGAAGTTAAACCAAACTCAGTCATGAGTATACGTAGTCTTTTTTGTTGGAATAAGAGTTATATACGTAGGAAATGTTTAAATATATATTTAACACAATCAAAAATTACACTCGTATGATCTGTTAGTCCTTAGGAGTCACGATCACTAGTAGAGACATCAATATTTGGTTATTATACAGATCCGGAAATGCGACCAAACATGTGTCGCTAGGACTGAGAAATTAAACATGACACATTGAATAATCGTCTCAAATAAGAGTTGTGTACATCGTTGGATCTTTCACGTGCGTTCGTCAGTTTTTTTTTACCATCCCCCTACTAATAAAAGAGAGTGTTGTAATTTTTTTTTTTGACATTTGGGAGTGTTGTATTTTTAGGGCAACTAATTAAGAGAAGAAGACAGATAATAAAGAGATGAAGATTCCTTTTTACACGTGGACCCCAAACCCCATGCTATCTCTCATTGTGTGCATGTGAACTTGGCATTTTTTTTTGACATATGGAATTTTTGGCATCTTCAGTTTTCTTTCTTGTAAACTTTAATACTCAGTTTATTTTTATTTTTATTTTACCAAGGAAACTGTTACTGAAAAAGAAAAGGATGAGTAACTCTCGTCTCTCAGTCCCACCTTATAATTAATTATTTTTATACTTTTATAATGTAGACAAAACAATAGTGTTGACAAAAAAAAAAGACAAAACAATAGCAATAATATGTAAAAAAAACAATTACACATAGTCACCAACAACAGGAACCATTCATCTGAAGGTTCTACAGCATTAACACTAATAATTTATTTATTTGTTTATCCCCAAAACAATTATATCACATTTATTTAATTATTTTTCAACATATTAACTTTTTCCTCAGAATAAAATAAAAACACACCCCTTCCAATATTTAAATTCACTTCCTCTATATCAAAACTTAAAAACGTTTACTAGTCTTTGTTACTGCTCGGCACAAGCTCAAACTCACCTCCTTCTCCTTCTTCTTGATTCTCTTTGTCATCTTCCTCATCGTCGTATTCTTCTTCCTCTGTGCCTTCTTCATCATCAAAGTTCTGATCACTCGGCTGAGGAGGAGGAGGAGAATGTTGATTGGGCTGAGCCGTTGCACCAACCGTAGTTGCCGTAGCTGGAGGCCACTGTTGCTCCGGTTGGACCATCAAAGGAACCGAATTATCCGGTATGACTAAACCCGAAGCTGAGGAAGAAGATGCTATGTTGTTGTTGAACTTGTTCCTCTCCGTATATAAAGCATCAAGCTGGTGAAAGTAAGGACAAGTCTTGGAATCTTCAGGACGTATCTTGCTCCTCTCTTTGACTTTCTTGAAGTATTTATTAATGTTTTCCCATTTCTCTTTGCATCTCTTTGAGTTCCTGTTGAATCCTAACCTTCTCATTCCTGCTGATATCTCTTCCCATAACGGTCCTTTAGGTCCGTTCTCTTGATACTTTGAATCAAGATTTGTCCTCAGCTTTATCAATGCCTCTATCTCCACTTTCGGCCACCGCGAAGAGGAGGCCGAGAAAAGAGTCATGTTCTGATCACCATTGTCCGTTTTGGGAGTGTCCAAGGTCGGTATCACTTCCTGTGTCGGCTGAGGAAGTGGCGTTTGAGGCGTTTGCTGTGGTGTCGCCTGCTGGTTGTTACTATTAAACTGCATTTGTGATTTAGAATGATGCGGTTGCGGTTGTGGTTGCGGGATTGATTGACCTTGAGGGTTCAAATTTTCTGAAAACTTCTGAAGAAACGCCATGACCGCGGCATCTTTAGCCGCGGACATTGAGCGTTCTTGAGCTAAGATCTCGCGTTCGCGGTTGATTCGAGCAATTTCTTGAACTCTCCAAGATTCTTCTCTAACCCTTCTCTCTTGATCTCTCTTATCAACAGCTTCGAAGAACTTGCCTTGCAGCTCTTCTTGCTTATCAACAAACTGTTTTATAAACCGCTCGATCCATTTCCTCTTCTTCGGAACAACCTCGACGTCCGAAGAAGTGGAATAAGAAAACGAAGACGATGTTGAATTATCCGACAGAGAGTCTCCGGAGATGTTTGGAAACGAAGATATGTTCACAGGAGTGATGTTTGCCGTAGGCGGCATAACATTTGTTGCCGGAGGAGGAGTGGAGAACATGGAGCTGTTGTTGTTGGTATGCGGTTGAAGAAGTTGCGTTTGAAGCGGTTGCGATTGAGTTTGTTGATGGTGGAGTGAAGAGGAGGTTGAGTGAGTCTCGAGAGCTTCTAACTGATCAAAGAAGCGATAAGTTTTGCCTTCGGATTTTCGGGTACGTCCTTCTTTGGTTCGTTTGTGATATTTGTAAACGTTTTCGAATTTCTCTTTGCATTTCTTTGCGTTTCTTATGTAACCAAGCTCCCCCATTTTCCTAATAACAAGAAGAAAAAAAAGACCTCAAAATATTCATCATCTTACCGTCTCTTTATAAACAATAGTTATTAACTTCATAATTTTTATAAAATATTCATGAAAAACATGAATTTTGTTTGTTTAAATAATAAATCAGTAAAATGACGACATATAATATGTAGTTGAGAAGTGAAATCAATCAGCATGAGTTTGAGTTTGTGAAACTGTGAAAGTACTTGGCCTTCACAATCTCATCATGAATTAAACATGACACAACTTATTTTATGTATATTAACAGCTTAATAAATTACAGTTCAAAAAACAAAATGGACACACTTCAAGTACTGTCCGAATCTGAATCTCACGAGATTTACTTCGCATTGAAGAAAAGAAATTTCACGAAATTAGGGTAAACAATACTCAAAAAAAACAAAAACAAAAAACAAATCTGAGACACTTTTCTCTACAAAAACGACAGATCTTAAACATTGTCGGTTAAACTTAAAACAAAGACAAGCTTGGTAATAACCATTTCTAATGAAAAAGGGACAAAGGAATGAAAGAGGAGATGGAAACGCACCTGGAAACCTCTTCCCATAAGGGTGCTTTAACAGTTGCGTCTCGAAACGCTATTCCCATGTCAGATCGTATTTTCAGCAACGCAAGCGTTTCCTGCCGCGGCCACCTGGTTCCTCCCAAACCACGCTCGTTCATCTCCTCCGACACCTCAAAAGCCCCAACAGCTTCTGATGTTGCTGCCGCAGCTTCGGTAGCGGCTGACTCGTTGGGTTGTAGCGGCACATCTTCTGTTGCGGCGGCTGTGGCTGTTTTACCACCAAGCTGCATCATCGTTTCTGTATTTTTTACGGTGAAAATACAAAAATTAAAATTATAAAAGTAAAAAGAGAAAAATAAAAAATAAAAATTCATAGAAGAAAGAAAAATCAGAGAGAGTTTACATGAGGAAGAAGAGTGAAATCTCTAGGTGGAGGGTTTTATGGAGTTATTAAAGAGTTTGTAAATATTTGAAGTTAAAATATTTTTCTTTCTTCTGTTGATGGATCTGCTTGTCAACCTCAAGGAGCCATTCCAAAAGTATTTATATTGTTATATTTTTTTTCTCTCTTTACCTATTTTGTTTAACTTTATTATTTTGTTTGTTACCTTTCCTTTGTTGGAGCCACTGTGGAATCTTCCTAATTTCTTTCTCCTTTATATTTTAAATTTTGGATGATTATTTTTCAATTACAGTGTATTATTACCTTAGCACAATCTGCATACTGTAATTGTGATTTAGATTTGACATTATCACTAACTATAATTAAAATGATCCTAGCTATAAGAAGAAAATAATAGTTATTAATTAGTCCAGTATTAAAGTAAGCAATGATGCTTCATATTTTAATTTGATTTAGATGTTTTTGATAATAATATTTTTTATTGAATTGTATCAATGTAAAAGTTATAATATAATACCAATAATTAGTAAAAAAATGGGTGATTTTGAAATCGTATAATATATAAATATAAAAACTATATTAACTAAATATTGAAAGTGTATACAATGCTAATTTTTGAAAATTCACACGTATTAGAATTATTATTAATCATTTAATGAAACACGTCTGAATAAGATATTTTAGGCTTTTAATAAAATATATTTAATATATATAGATTCGAAGAGCGTTACATTTAAAACAATAAATATTATTATTATAATTTGTATTATATTGAGTTGTATTACTGTTAACGTGTCAAAATTGAATTTGAAGTTAATAAAAGTTTTTTATAATTTAAAAGATGTATTAATAATATATATATTTATAAAATGCCTTATGTCGTAGTTATTTATTCTTATAATTGCAAAACCGATAAAATTTTAATAAGTGTAATTAATTTATTAAAATTAATCCTTATTAATTACTTACAAGTTTCGGAGATGAGAAGATTATAGATGAGAGGTAAATGGTGAAAAGGTTGTTGAAGATGAGGATCAACTTTGCTTTTCTTGGAACGTATTTTTGGAATTCAGTGGCTGGTGACTTACGTATTATTTAGAATTACAATGCTGACCCTAACGTGGATCCCATTGACCTTTAGTCATTGAGGGTTATTTAGTTATTAATACTTTTATAGTTCAACACTTAAATTTATCAATAATATACTAATAGCAGGTGTAGCGCTGATCCTTACAAAAAAGTTTTTTAGAAACAAATTATCTTTATAATATGTGGAGACCAAAAAAATTAGGAATTTGTGTTATAATTGTGTCTTATAGACCGTAGATAAGGACCATTTCACTGTCGGGCTCGTTACTGTGCGTAAGTCCCATCACCGCGAAGGAACTCACGATTGGTTCTTTTTTTAAAAAAACTGCAAAAAAAAAGTAATATAAAAAATTTATATGGGTTATCGAGCTATGAGTAACACGGTTGTGGATGCCCTAATACATCCAGATTACTAATATGGACTTGTCCCCTCCCCCTCCTCACATTCACATAAACGAATTATTATAATCTAAACAAAGTACTGATCGCCAACATTCTGGGTGTGAATGTAAAACATGACAAAAACATGAGAGATGCGGGAGAATTACCACTGCAATCCTATCTGCATTTTATGTCTATTCACAATAAATTTGCAGAACAAAATAATAATGATAAAATATTAAATGAACTGTATACAGATCCATTTATGTGTAAAAAAACTGTACTGCAAATAAGAAGAAAAAGGTGTCTGGTCGAATGTTGAGAACCAATGGGTGATTTTTGTTTTTCTTTTATCTATAAATTTTATGTACAGTTTTTCTTTTTACTGTAAAACCAAATAATAACACTAAACAATCTTTATAATATATGTAAGTAGAAAACATATATGATATAAATTATTCTGTTGATGATGATTAACATAGATAAAATAATTACAGTATTGTACAATAAATATAAATTTAAAATATTTTCATTTCTCATACTTCAGTAAAAATTTATTGTAAAATTAATTATTTATAGAAATAATATGTAATATATATTATCTTCTATAGATATGAGTATAGAAAATTATATATATTTAATTTGTACATTCATATTTTACAAAAAAAAAATTGCAGTATGTTTTTTTGCAAAAAAAGTTGCAGTATGTTACACATGTTAATTTGTATCCTTTTAAAATATCTAATCAATAAATATCACATATTATATACTTGAAATTAGTTAATATATTCATAGATTAGTCTAATAAATTTATGCATATATTCTGATATCTGATCATTAATATTTTAACTGCATATAATTATAAATGTTAATGGTTATTTATAAAATATCAAACATATTTTTTTGTTCTTATATGTATATGTATGCATTTTATATTTTAAATGAAGATTTTATTGATATAAGAACATATATAAAAATCGACAATATTAGTTCTATAGTTGAACGACATGAAATCTTATATTTAATTAATTTTAAATCTTATATTTTATATAAATTAGTTTGATGAATTTATGCATACTATTAATTATTTATATATTAACTAGAGATACATTTGAATAGTTACTTTCAGAATCACCTAATACATTTAAACAATGAATAGCTTTTATAAGTTTTGTAATTTGATGATCTTTCATATAATTTAAATTTCACTATATTTATTAAAATGATAATATTTTTATTTTAATATGATATTTATTTCTTATATATTATAAGTTTTATTTTATTTAATTTTTACGTTTTATAATATAATAATTTATTAAATTAGATTGATCTGCATTTGATCTACTTGATCTGCACGATCTGCATTTGTTCTGCTTGATATGCATTTCCGTTTGATCTGCATTTTTTTATCTGCGTTACCCATTCGAAATCTCTATAAAACGGGCTTGATTTCAAATGAGTCCTAAGATATGATGAAACTATAAATTGATATTATAATCCAAAATAAAACAATAAATAAATAAATTAGTATTGTGTAAAGCATGATGGGATGTTAGAAGGGAACTGGCTAGATGTGAATCATTTTCGGGATTGAAGCAAATGGACACCATTTCCCGTTAAGGCCACACATAGCCTCCGTTATTACTACTACTACTACGTTATGCTAGTAAATTAACCCTGTTGGAAGCTGTCTATCCTTGATTCACATCAGCTTGGGAAAAAAAAAACCCATTAACTTCATGTTCATATTGAAGTATTTATGGGCCTAGTCTGGGCCTTTTTAGTTTATGGGCCTTATTAAGTCTCAAGATAGTTTTTAATATCTTCTTACCTTAGAACTAAAACTTTTGTGAGAAACAGCGGTCGTGAGATCAGAGTTTGTGTCGGAAAACGATTCGTTTCGGTATAGAAACCCTCGACGAAGTTATTTTCAACTGTTAATTTTTTTTTTTTAATAAGATGTCTGGAGAGGAAGACGCCACCGTGAGGGAGCCGCTAGATCTGATTCGTCTGAGTCTTGACGAGAGAATCTATGTCAAGCTTCGCTCAGACCGCGAGCTTCGCGGCAAGCTTCACGTACGTTTTCTTCTCTCTCTCTCTCTTACCCCTCGTGGGGCTCTAAAGTTTCAATTTTTAAGTAAAGGGTTTTCTAGTTATGGCGATTAGTTCTAGTTGTAATGTGTAGATTTGGTTTTGGTTTTGTTTGTATGGGGCAGGCGTTTGATCAGCATTTGAATATGATTCTGGGAGATGTTGAAGAAGTTATAACAACAGTTGAGATTGATGATGAGACATATGAAGAGATTGTCCGGGTACTTGCTTCTTTTTTTTTTTTTTTTTTAACTTCATATGATTTATGTTTTAATTGTATGATAATTGAGGGACTGTGGTGGGTAAGTTAAGGTATTCTAGATAGGGAACAAGTGTAGATGTGTCTTTGTAAGTTTCAGGTCAATGAGTCTTTGTAGTACATTAACTAAGAGTACTACTGATTAGTTGTTGCTTTGATTGAGGCAAATGCAATTTTCAGTGATGAAGTCTCTTTAAGCTTCTTAGTTGCTTAAGGACTCTCCTGTAATTGTGCTAGCTTCTTATCTGATTCTCATGTGTATATGATTTTGGTTTTTAATTGTCTGTGATTTGCAGACGACAAAGCGGAACATTCAGTTTCTGTTTGTGAGAGGAGATGGAGTTATATTGGTGTCTCCACCACTGAGAGCACCCTGAAGTTAAAACTCAAATCTGAAGCCTAAGTTAAAGGAACTTGAGTTCTCTCTATGGGTGCTTTGTGTGACTATTGGTGTGTATTTAGAGTCTCTTTGTTGTCTTAAACTTTCTAAAAATAGCTTCAAGGAACTCTTTTGCTTAGTTCCAGTTGCTTTCAGATATTTCTTACCTTAGCTACTTTTTTTTTTGCATCGTGTGACATTGTTTAATTACAACCCAATTCATCTGAGTTTTACAAAATGTTAGTTCTAGAGAATGGTTACGAGTAGGATCCTTTGTCTATCATCTGAAACCGTGTCTTTGCTGCCACGAGTTGGTCTGCGATTATGTTCCTGGAGTGGTCTCAACTGCTTCACTGATGCTCTCTATAGCAAAATCTCTAACACTATTCCTTGTAGAGTTTTAAAAAGACGCGGTTGCATCGCTTGTAAAGTATAGATTCAGTACTGTCTCAAAATACTCAAGCTGCAGTAGATAATTCCAATTATTTTTGGCAATCAAATGTAATTAAATTTTATAAAATACATATGGGGAAGCTAATCCAATAATTAAAAGACTAGAAACTTATTATACACAAAATGTAAGATTTGGTTTCTAAAATAATTTTTCTTAGTATAAGATGCAATAAATATTAGAGGTTACAGAATACTTACATTACAGATAAATATCAAATGTCCTAAGAAAATTTAACCATTCATAAGAATTAAAAATATTTACTGTATTTTCAAATAATAAATTTAACTATTTTAATAACTAAGACAAATAAGGATGAGAAAAAAAAAGTTAATTATCTTTAATTTTATAATTTGTATTTATTAATTAGTTTAATAACTAAAATAAATAAGGTTGAGAAAAAAAAAGAATTTAATTATCTTTAATTTCATAATTTAATTATTAATTAAGAAAATGCATATTTTTAAAAAATAAATTAAAAACAGTTTTAAGAAAATTACTTACCTTTTTGAAACCGATTCAGTAGAGTATATTTAACCAGCGTTAGAAATAGACAGTCACAGAGCGTTTTTATTATTTTTCTCTCGGCTCCAACTCAACTCAACCCTAGCTTCAAGCCCCGGTTTAAGTTTAACAAACCAAAGAGCTTTCGCTTACTCATCTCTCTATCTCTGCCGCCGCCGCGCTATCTCTGAATCTCGCTAACCCTAACCGCTTCTTCCCTCCCTCTCTCTCTCTCTCCGACGATAAGGTAAAAAAAAACGCTTCATCGCCTTTATACTTAGAGCTTTGTGCCGATCTCGATAGATTATTAAAAACCTAAAAAATCGATTTTCGTTTTTTTTTTTTAATTGAAGATAATTTTTATCAATCCAAAATGGGGCGGAAGAAGCCGAGTGCTCGTGGTGGAGATGATGAACCTACTGCTTCGTCTCTCGTTGGTGCTGGTGGTGGTGGTAAGTCTAAGAAGAAAGGTGTTCAGATCGACGATGATGAGTATTCTATAGGTACGGAGGTCTCTGAGGAGACTAGTAGAGGTGAGGAGGAGAAGGAGAAGGTTGTTATCACTGGGAAGAAGAAGAAAGGTAAGAAAGGTGATAAGAAGCAGCAGGATGATGATTTTGCTGTGGAGGAGGAAGATGCTGTTGTTGTTGTTCCGGAGATTGCTTTTGAAGGGAAGAAGAAGAAGTCTAAGTCTAAGAAAAGTGGTGGATCTGTTAGCTTTGCTTTGCTTGATGATGATGAAGGTGAAAAGGATGATGAAGATGATGAGAAAGTGGAGGATGAGCCTGTTGTAAGTGTTGCTGCGGGTAAGAAGGGTAAGAAAGGTGGTGGTAATTCGTTTGCGGCTTCAGCTTTTGATGCACTTGGTGATGATGATGAAGTTGAGGAGAAGGATGAGGAAGAGGAGTCTCCAATCACCTTCTCTGGTAAGAAGAAGTCTTCTAAATCGTCCAAGAAGAGTGGTAATTCATTTGCGGCTGCTTTGCTTGATGATGAAGAGGAAGAGGCAAACACAGTGGAGGAGGAAGAGAGCTCTGAGATCATGTTTACGGGTAAGAAGAAGTCTTCTAAATCGTCTAAGAAGAGTGGTAATTCATTTGCTGCTGCTTTACTTGATGATGATGAGGAGGAGAGTAAAGCAGTTGAAGAGGAAGAGAGGTCTGAGATCATGTTTACGGGTAAGAAGAAGTCTTCTAAAAAGAAGGGTAGTAGTGTTTTGGCCTCGTTAGGTGATGATGAGAGTGAAATTGCTGAGGAAAAAAGTAAGGATAAAGCTTCTGATGCTAAGAGTGCAGAGGTTGTAGAAACTTCGAAGAGTAAGAAGAAGAAGAAGAATAACAAGAGTGGAAGGACTGTACAGGAAGAGGATGATTTGGACAAACTTCTTGCAGAACTTGGAGAAGCTCCTGCTGCTGGAAAACCTGCTGAAGAAGAGAAAGTTCAAGCTCAGCCACAGGCAGTTGCGCCTGTAGATAATGAGAAGGAAGGAGAAGAAGAGACTGCTGCAGCTAAGAAAAGGAAAAAGAAGAAGGAGAAAGAGAAGGAAAAGAAAGCAGCAGCTGCTGCAGGAACCTCTACTGTGGAGGCTGCTAAGGACGAAAAACAAGAAGAATCAGTACCTGAGACACTGCAGGGGAAGAAGAAGGATGCAAAGGGTAAAGCAGCTGAGAAGAAAATTCCTAAACATGTTAGGGAGATGCAAGAGGCTCTTGCACGACGGCAAGAAGCTGAAGAGAGAAAGAAGAAGGAAGAGGAAGAAAAATTGAGAAAGGAGGAAGAGGAACGTCTTAGGCAGGAAGAGCTTGAGAGGCAAGCTGAGGAGGCTAAGCGCAAGAAGAAGGAAAAGGAAAAGGAAAAACTGTTGAAGAAGAAGCTAGAGGGCAAGCTTCTAACAGCAAAGCAAAAGGCTGAAGCTCTTAAGAGGGAGGCTTTTAAGAACCAGTTACTTGCTAGTGGTGGAGGTCTCCCACTTGCAGATGAGGGTGAGCCTGCCACAAAGCGTCCCGTTTATGCAAACAAGAAAAAATCAGCTCGCCCCAAAGGCAATGACTCTGCCTCTGCTCAGGTGGAAGAGGAGGTAAAAGAGAATCATGCAGATGAACCAGATACGTTAGCTGAAGTGGCTTCAGCAGACGCTGAAAAGGTTGATTTAGTAGAGTCAGCAGACGCTGATGAGAAATCAGGTACTACTGATGTAGCTGCGGAGAATGGGGCTGAGGAAGATGATGAAGACGATGAATGGGATGCAAAAAGCTGGGGGGATGATGTTGATCTTAAGTTCAAAGGTGATTTTGATGATGAAGAGGACAAAGCTCAGCCTGTAGTTAAGAAAGAAATAAAGGACGCTGTGTCAAAGACACAAGACTCAGGTTAGTATAAACTGTTGTTCTCTGTCCGTCTTCCTGGTGAGATATCCGTTGTCTGTTTGAATCTAATCTTTTGACTTTTTACGCAGGCCCTGAAGCTGAAAAACCAACAGCTAAACCAACAGGCACGGACAACCGAACAGCACCTGCCACTAAAACTTTACCTGGGGTGGAAGATGCTGCACGTACAAAACGTGCTACTAAGGCCAAAGATGCCTCCAAGAAAGGTAAAGGCTTGGCTTCCAGTGAACCCAAAGAAGGTGAAGAAAATCTCCGCTCTCCCATTTGCTGTATCATGGGTCATGTCGATACTGGTAAAACAAAGCTGTTGGATTGCATCAGAGGAACAAATGTACAGGAAGGCGAGGCTGGAGGTATTACTCAGCAGATTGGTGCAACATATTTCCCTGCGGAAAACATCCGGGAGAGGACCAGGGAACTCAAAGCCGATGCAAAACTTAAGGTGCCAGGTCTGTTGGTTATTGATACACCTGGTCACGAGTCCTTCACGAATCTGCGGTCAAGGGGTTCAAGTTTGTGTGACCTTGCAATTTTAGTGGTTGACATAATGCATGGGTTAGAGCCACAAACCATCGAATCTCTAAATTTATTGAGAATGAGAGACACCGAGTTCATTGTTGCCTTGAATAAGGTGAGACTGCTTTTCATTCGGCTGGATGAGAGTTTTTTTGTTCTCTGTTGTTAGTTCCCGTGTGGAAATTTAATCCTTTCATCCTCCAGGTGGATAGGCTATATGGATGGAAAACATGCAAGAATGCTCCTATCGTGAAGGCAATGAAGCAACAAACCAAAGATGTTGTAAATGAATTTAACATGAGACTCACTGGGGTAAGTTATACGTCTAGAGTTTTTTGTGCATGGCTTGAGCTATCACTTAAGGTGTTTCGTTGGTATTTCAGATTATAACCCAGTTCAAGGAGCAAGGTCTCAACACTGAGCTTTACTACAAGAATAAAGAAATGGGAGAAACTTTCAGTATTGTTCCTACTAGTGCTATTACGTATGGATTTCTGTTTATTCTCTTCAATTTACAGCTCAATAGACAACTTATCCATCCTAAATAGTTGGTTAACTTTGGCTCTTTATATTTCAGTGGGGAAGGAATCCCAGATCTTTTACTGTTGTTGGTTAACTGGGCTCAGAAAACAATGGTTGAGAAGCTTACATATGTTGACGACGTGCAGGTATCTCATCTCTCTTTTAAGGATCATTTTTTTTCCGAACTACTTCAGTAAGATAATTCTTAACCATTTCTTGAATTGGTCGAACAGTGTACTGTCCTGGAGGTCAAAGTTATTGAAGGCCATGGTACGACGATTGATGTTGTGTTGGTAAACGGTGTACTTCATGAAGGTGATCAAATCGTCGTGTGTGGGTTACAGGTAAGTAGAAAAACCTTGTGATTTATAACCAAACAAGTCAAGCACTGGTATAAGTACATAGACCCAGAACTTTGAAAAGTAATATTATTTCTTCCTCGTCTGTTTCAGGGACCTATAGTCACAACGATTAGAGCGTTACTGACTCCTCATCCAATGAAAGAGTTACGAGTGAAGGTACTTTCAGATACTCCACTTCACTAGTCCTTTCATTGTTATTCCTTCAGAGACATGGCTCATTTACATTATTTCCGAATTCCTTTTCTTATACACAACGTGTATTCCTGGTCTGATGTTTCAGGGTACTTATGTGCATCATAAAGAAATAAAGGCTGCACAGGGTATTAAAATTACAGCTCAGGTGACTCAACCGACTCCACATTTATCTTAGTTGCTAGTTTCTGCAAAAAAAAAAAGTTAATGATGGTTTGGGTCACATGCTGAGTATCATTTCCCATTGATGGTTTGTGTTTTGAATAGGGCCTTGAGCACGCTATTGCTGGCACTGCCCTACACGTGATTGGACCTGATGATGACATCGAGGCAATTAAGGATCAAGCAATGGAAGACATGGAATCAGTTCTGAGCAGGATTGACAAAAGTGGCGAAGGAGTTTACGTACAAGCGTCTACACTAGGGTCACTGGAAGCATTACTCGAGTTCTTGAAGTCTCCAGCTGTAAAGATACCCGTCAGTGGTATCGGCATAGGGCCTGTGCACAAGAAGGACATCATGAAGGCCGGAGTGATGCTCGAGAGGAAAAAGGAATACGCCACAATTCTGGCTTTTGACGTGAAAGTGACTACAGACGCTCGTGAACTCGCAGACGAAATGGGAGTTAAGATCTTCTGCGCTGATATTATCTACCATTTGTTCGACCAGTTCAAGGCGTATATTGAGAGTATCAAAGAGGAGAAAAAGAAGGAATCAGCAGATGAAGCAGTCTTCCCGTGTGTCCTTCAGATTTTACCTAACTGTGTGTTTAATAAGAGAGACCCAATTGTCCTTGGAGTTGATGTCGTCGAGGGTATACTTAAGGTATTATCATGTCCTCTACTCTCAAACATGTCGACACAAGTCACTCTTTCTTAACATTTGTCTTGTTGGTTTTTTTAGATTGGAACTCCCATCTGCGTCCCGAGTAGAGAGTTTATCGATATAGGCCGCATTGCCTCTATTGAGAACAACCACAAGCCTGTTGACTATGCAAAGAAGGGTACCCAGGTGGCTATTAAGGTAATACTGGGGGAGAGAGAAGAGTTATTGTTAACAGAGTGATCAGAGAGTTATTGTAACCGATGCTTTCTTTGTTTATACAGATTATTGCTTCAAACCCTGAAGAGCAGAAGATGTTTGGGAGACATTTTGACATGGAAGATGAGCTTGTGAGTCACATTTCAAGGAGATCTATCGACATACTCAAAACTAACTACAGGGTAAGTTTGGTTTCTCCCTGTTGTTCAAATCATCATCTTGAATAAGAAAACTAATAAACCCATATGTTAATTGCAGGATGAGTTATCCATGGATGAGTGGAAGCTAGTTGTTAAACTGAAGAATATCTTCAAGATACAGTAGAGAATCATTAAAATGTCTTCTTTTGGGAGTTTTGAAACGATCACACAGGCCTTGTGATGCTGCTGTGTCTGCGTCGATGCAGAAATGAACAGATTCATCTTCATGCTTCTAACCAAAGCAGTCACGAAGATTTGAGAGAGGTTAAAGAGAGACCAAAAGGGTTTTTTGTTTTTGTTTTTTTAAATTATGTTTATCTTTCTCCCTGAAAAAGTGCTGAATAATTGGTTTAGAACCCTCGTGCTGGCACAAACTTGCTGGGGAATAAGATGTTGAGTTTTGAGATATACAACAAATATCGTTATATGTCCTTTAAACTTAAATCTTTTAAGTTAACAGAACTAACATAATCTTAATTGAGACAAAAATCTAGGTCACTGCTACATTAGATGTTTTTGTTAGTGTTCATATTCGATTTTGTATCTATTTAAAAATAACAAATTTGAATTGAATGATAATAATATGGGGATGTGATATGTATAAACCAAAAGCAAGCTGCTCCTCTTTTTATGGAGATGTGAAAAAGCATGAAAGGGAATATCATAGCATACGACAACAATTGCAAAGTATATCTCTTTTTTTAGCTTTTTGAACGTTGTCGAGATCATCGATATGTTACGTTCAATGGTACGAGTGATCTACTAAACTGTGGTCCATTGCTTTACTGTATCTAATTTGATCCTTTATTTGTTCGAAACATCATTTTCTTAAATTTAATCAATCAAAATAATTATATGACATGCTCCCATAATTTTTCCTTACGATTTTATCATAAGTCATGTATTTATAATTTAAAGTCAGATGATAATGAATTGAAAAATTTCTTAGACTTATATTTATAGCAGTCTCAAAATCTGATTTCCATTATTTTTTTTTTGTAGAAATACATATTACATATCATATACGATATATAAAATTGATTATTTTGATTTATTTACCCTAATTGCGAATAAACAAGAGTGAACATTAGATTTATATGCACACGTCAATTTATTACATAATAGTAATTAATTTTTTACTTTAATATATATAATTATTATTTTATTATTTCATAATATGCAATAAACATAAAATAATTAATAAATAGAAAATACTTATTCCGTAAAAAGTGCAAATCATCAATCAGAATGCTAGGATTTTTATTGATGCACACACACACATCCAGCAGCAAGCTATATTCTAATAATTCAAAATATTTTTAAAATTTGAAGGATCCATTCATAAACCTAAATTTGTATTATTGTATATCAACAAAACTAATAAAAACACGTATGATGGTATATTGCTTACCTTTTACGTAAAATTATAAGTTTGGGAACTATGATACTATTGACTGTATTCGGGTTACTCTAACGAATTAGTTATAATCTAAACGTAGCACATTTAGAACATCATTATTACAAGTTTTTAAGGTATAATTTCTAGGGAATATAAAAAATTGTTTCTTAACTTTTAACTAAATACGCTTTAAGAACTCCGTCCTAAGAAATCTGCAATAATAATGTCCTTATTTTCCAACTAATTTACATTATTAACCGTAAAACAGGTCTCTCAAACATCACATCACGAACTCTATAAATTACATCTTCAAATAAACGTTAAACACAACCGGCATAATTTTAATAACCTGCGTTTTGCAATATGATTATGTGAACATCATTAAAAGTAAATCAGTTTTGTTCACGTACCGTAAACATACTGTCATGTTTCATGTGTTTCACCGAACTTCACTCACGCTTACTATAAAAAAGTCTTATAAGAAGATGGTTTCACCAACAGTTTAGCTAGAGTCCATGTAACCCAATGAGCTTAGTTAACCCAAACGTTACCGCCATAGCTAACCAACCTCCAAACAAAACCCTAGCCGACGACCTAACCGCTGGTGCCTTCCCTAACGCCGCTCCTAACCACCCAAAAGCCACAAGCGCCACCGTAACCGCAGCCACAACCGCAATGATCCTCACTCTATACTCCTTCACAAACGCAGCCGCCAAAAGCGGCACAATCGCACCCGCGGAAAACGCTAACGCGGACGCAGCTGCTGCTTGTAGTGGACTAGGTAGCTTCTCTTTCTCCACTTCACCACTCTCTCTCTCCATCTGAGCCACCTCTATGTCGTACTGAGAGTAAACGGAGACGAACTCTCCTATGGCCATGCTACAAGCTCCGGCCACCATTCCGGCGAATCCTGAGAGAATCATAGCTTTGACGTCGTGTTTCACGGCGCCAACTCCCATCATCAGTGATGCGGTGGAGACAAGACCGTCGTTGGCTCCGAGGACAGCAGCGCGTAGCCATTGAGCGCGTTTGGAGTAGTCTAAGGTTGTTGTTGATTCCTTCTCTATGTCCATGTTACGTTCTTGATCCATTTTTTTAAAGGAAAAAAATATGTTTCTTTGTGTGTTTGTTTTTGTTCGAGTAAGAGAATCGAGTAAGTGTGGAAAACACACGTCCAGGCTCATTCTATTTATGGAGGTTTTTGAGTTTACTTTTTGGCTTGGTGGAGACAATATGTGGAACATCACCACTACTTGTTTTTCTTTTTTTGTTGGTATTAATTTTACTAAGCAGCACTAAGTTAGGGATAAACCTATATTACAAACCATGTTTATAGAAAAATAATTACAAAAATGTTCTTGTTGTTTATAGTTCTTAAAAAATGTTGTTGTTTGCGACATGGACCCTTCTTACGTTATGAACCCTTACGAGAAGGGGAAATTGTACCATGCACATTGTATGTTTAACAGGAATGCGAAGAGAAATTAAGATCTAAGTATGAAGTTGAACGTACAAGGTTAATATTTTATTTCTAATAAGATATCGGTTCGACAATAGCTTAATTAGAAAGGAACAAAACATTTTATTACAGATAGAGTAAAATGGAATGCATTTACACAAGAAGCTATTATGTCCTCTTCATGATCAAAGGCATGCATGATCCAAGTCGTCAAGGGGAAAAGCAAAAAAAAAAAGCAAAAAAAAAGAAGAAAATTTCAACTTGTTGCATTACTATACGTAATCTTTAACACTATTTATTCCAACTTTATTCTCTACTTAATTACTGATTTTATGATATTATTATCATGCTTATTATTTCTATCGTAATATCTCAAGAAATTCTACTAGATGATGAAACCATTATTTGCTACAGTGAGCAGAGTGAACATTTTGCTTATTTTCTATATGTTGAGAGTATTATTATATAAGGAGTGGTGTGACATATATATAGTTTATGAATTTGAACATATAGATTATCTTTATCACTCAAAATTCGTATCATTTCCAAAACAATTCGTTTTTACCCTCTAGTTATTAATATTGAATAATATATTTTTTTTCTTTACTTTCTTGATTCCTATTGGTAGTTTTTGTACCTTTTCCTTCGACAAATAAAGGTATCAAAAAGGAGAAAAAAGGGAAAATGAGGCTAATCAATCACACACTATTTTATTTATTTAATTTTAGATTTTAGTAATGTTTGACCAAAAGTTATCAATAATTGTAGATTTTAGTAGTGTTTGACCAAAAGTTATCATAGTTGAACGGATTTATCCCAATATTATTTTGAATAGAATCCATCTGTATGTTTTGAGGGTTGTTTTGTTTTGTAATGTTTCTGTTTATGTCATCCATATATGCAAAATAAATACTTAATACAATTTTCATAGATTATATACACATAAACTGGAAGAAATTTGGGTCAATGTATAGATAATAATAACTAAGTAATATACAGACAATTTTAAAAGAATAACACCAAGTACGGCACTAGTCCTTCCTAATTAAAACACATGTTTGTTTTTTCTTACACTTTGGTGCATTAGTATGTAAATGTGGCAAGGTGTTACATTTTATCCATGTTACATGCATGGAACGATTAGAATATGAAATACTAGAATCCAACTATTTAATAATCAAGTGCGAATCAGATGTGTATTCACGCAACAGATTCTTAAATCCTCTGAAGACTGCAATGAACAATTAGATCCGTTTGAAAGTGAGTCTATTAACAAATAGATAATATTTATTTCATAAAGAAAACAAATAGATAATATGTAAGTAGGGTTTCGTTAAATGTAGAATATAAGGAAAATAATTGGATTGGTGGATTGGAAAGCACTGAGAAGAAAATTATAGCGAGATACAATAGTGGAAAGAGATTGATAATAAAGAAAGAGAGGAAGAGTGTGGTTTCCACACGAAGAGCACCATCCTTCACCATCATCGCTCACGCATCACCACACTTGTACATACACCACCACTCGCTTCATCCTCAAAACAATAAAATGTAGTCTCTTGTTAATTTTAAAAATTTTATATGACTAATATAAGAGCATACATATGTCACCCTAGTAACCCTACATATATCACGCAGAAAACATGCATGCATACGTACTGGCCTACGTACATATACACTAATACACAACCAGTGACGTTGCTAAACTTTTAAATTTATATATTGATATTTTGCTTTAAGCTGAGAAATACTTTTAGACACGATCTACCACTGAAATTATATAATTAACAATTTTTCTTTGTGCTAAGAAATACTTTAGTAGCCGTGAAACCCCTTTCTTTGTGTATGTTCAGTATTATCATCTGATTGAGAAACCGTTTCAACTATATTTTATCTTTGTAAACTATAACTAAATAATAGGAACATGATAGGTTACAAAAAATAACAATAATAGGAACACGATGAATTCTGTATGCAATGGAACAAACATGTAGTGGAGGTTTCAAGATTTGACGGTTCACACTTTCCATTTCAAGGCTTCATGTATCGTATACGTGTTGTCTTCCATTATAAGGAAAAGAATATTCCTTTACCTTTAACAAATTCCTCCAATAAGATGATTTTGATCCGTGCAACCGCGGATGTTTTGTTTTCATTTTTATATACCTATATATTTTTTATAACATTAGTGAGGTTAATTATATATTTAAATATTTATATAACTGTTACAAACACTAGTTTTATAGCTTGCATGTTAATATTAATTGTTTTAATAGTTTTTATTATATTTATCTTATTAGATTTGCATTTAGTTATGTATGAAAAATAATATTTAAAATTATTTTATATTTAATTTATACTAAATTTGATATGAATTTCAAAGTTATATTACCATTTAGCAAACTTTTATATTTATTTAGATAATATGTTATTATAAAAGTTTAAGTATGTTAATTTTACATGTATTATATTGTTACTAGTGTTAATCCGTTCTGCGAAAATATTATATATTTTGAACATTAATATTTTTATGAAAATAAAATTGATTAATGTATAAATTTAATATACTTTTTTAACATTTACTTCGATATCATAATTTTTATTTAATATAATAGATTTTGATTATAAAATAGATAAAACGAATAATTTTTTTATTTTATAAGAGATAATTGAATATATATATATATATTAATATATAAAAATATATTTCATTACTATTTCACAATTAGTGAAATATTTATATAATGTTGTTAAAGTTAAGATCTTGCTAAAAAATTTCAACAGATTTGTTAAAAAGAATTAATATATATTTATATTTAAAATAAAAAAATATTATGATTAAAGTAGTTAAAATAATGAAATATAGTTAATAAGATTTCTTAATAATGGTCTAGATATAATAGTATCACACATGAAATGAATCATGACTTCTCTTTTAATATAATAGATAAGAAAAATAATCACAAAATAAATTTGGGACAAAGAATAAAAATGATTAGAGCTACACACGTTTAAGCAAAAAAAAAAAAAAAAAAAAAAAAAA